AGGTATGGATCTGGCTGGCGATACTCGGTGTGTTCATTCAGTCCTCTCAGTGCCTGGGTTGGGGGTCTTCCTCTTGCTCTCTCAAGCAAGATGACCTCAGGAAGCTGGAGGCACTCTGCAGCAAGGTATGTCGATGGGTGTTTTGTCATGTATTTGCTTCTTTGTCTTCTACCTTTCAGTGGTGACAGTGGTAGTGGTGTTTATAGTTTTATCTGTGTTATCATTGCTGTTACTACTACTACTACTACTACTACTACTACTACTACTACTTCTACTGTTACTACTAATGTAACTATTGTGTCTACTATTACTATTACTACTACTACTGCTATTACTGTACCTATAATTACTACTAGTAGTAGTAGCACTAATGATGATAACAATAACGGTAGTAATGATAATATTAATACAATTACTATCACCATTGTCATATTAGGGTAGATCACACACGCACATTCATACACAATAATACTAATAATGATAATAGAATAAACAGATAAATGACTAAACCAATAAAACTAAAAGATAAAAATAAAATAAAACAACAGACCATAAACATAGCAAGACCATACAATACCAACAAATATATAAAAAGAACGACAGAACCTTAATGGGTGGTTTCCCTCCCAGACGGCCGAAGTGGTGAACGCCTCAGTGGCTAATCTTGAGCAGAAACTCGAGCGCGTTCTCACGTTCGTCGAGGAAATGAAGAAGCACGAGACCGCCTGGATCGAGGAAACCAGTACATCGAATGGTTCAAGTAAGAGTGGTATTTTTGTCTGTCTAGAGTAAACGATAATGTACATAAGCAAACTCAGGAAGGACTGAAGTTGGAAATGTAGTGACGTAGTGATGTAGTGACTCGTAAGTTCATTGCATCCTGGACGAAAGCGAAAACAGATACAAAGGCAAACTCGATCGAAAAATGAGATGGCTAAATGTAGTGGTTCAGTTTATAGTTTGCTTGTTGAATGTGAAGAAAATCAAATGCAAAAGCTACTATCCCCCTCCCTCCGAAAAAAAAACGAAACTGGAAATAAAGATGTAGTGGCAAAGTCCATGATTTACTTATTGAATATAAACCAAAGCACATGCAAAAATAAAAGCAGACAAAACTAAATTGGAATGAAAACTGAAAACGGAACAGGAGTGACTATCTATCGAAAAAAAATAAAAAATAAACCCATAAAAAAAGAAATATAATGACTCATACGACGTCAGATAGTCGTCTAAAGTATATCTAAAGGCACCCCCCCACCCCACACCCCAAAAAAAGAAAAAGAAAAAGAAAAGAAAAGAAAAAATCTTTATTCATTTCGTCCCTTCGCGTTTCAGAAGGGACAGTCGAGAGGGACGTTTCAACACAGGAAGCCGTCCTTGTGCCCTCGGTGCTGACGAATACACCGACGCAAGTGGAATCTGCTGACGTCCAGGGGCAGGAGAGTCAGAACACCAGCTACAGGAACATCCAGACCCCTCGCTTTGAGGACGACGACGAAGACGATGAAGAAGATAGGGATAATGTTGACGAGGAAGACGAAGAAGATCAGGAGGTTAAGAAAGGTAAAGAGGAATGTTGTTGTTTTGATTTTGTGGTTACTAATGTGGTGCGTTGAAGTGAAACATTTATGAGATACATGTAAGAAATGAAATGATGAGATGAAAAGTACTTTGCTGTTTAAGATGAAATTGATAAGGAATACCATTGAATGAATCATGATCAAGAATCACACACAAGACACACACACACACACACACACACACACACACACACACACACACACACACACACACACACACACACACACACACACACACGCATGCACACACACACACACACACACACACACACACACACACACACACACACACACACACACACACACATACACACACACACACACAAATATTAACTCCATTTCCATACTTACTTATAAGGCCCCTCCTCCTTCCTACAGAAACCCTCCTTTTCAACATTCCGTCTTCCACTTCCCCCACAGGAGAATGCGAAGCTCAGGTCATCGACAACCACGAAACTATCGGCATGTTCTATATGACTTCCTTCCGCCACGGACACTGCGCCAACAGGCACCCGATAACTGCCCCTATCCGCCACTGCCTCGGTTACTGCGCTACCAGGACCTATATTGGTGAGTCTCGGGGTGGTAGATGGTGGGAGGGGGAAGGGGTGGGGGAAGGGGAAAGGGGAGGGGGAGGGCGAGGGAGAAAGGGTGTAAAGGGTAGGGAAGGGTGGATGTTAGGGAGGGTAAGAGAAGGAAGGTGGTAGAGTGGGAGTGATAGAGACAGGGAGATGAATGGGATGAAAAGGAGGGAGAGGGGAAGAGAAGAAGGGAGTGAGAGGACTATATAAAGGGGGTGAATAGTAATATATATATATATATATATATATATATATATATATATATATATATATATATAGAGAGAGAGAGAGAGAGAGAGAGAGAGAGAGAAAGATGAGAGATAGATAAATGAAGAGAGAGAAAGACAGATAAAGAAAGAGAGCGAAAGAGGGAAAAAAATTCCAACACGCAACAATCCCTGGCCTACGTATAACCCCACTACGAAAACACCCACCATTCCCGACTAACAACGCTCCCACCCTCACCACCATCATTACCCATATTCCCCTAACTTTTTTTTTTTTCTCTTTTTTTCTCCAGAACGGGAAGCAGGAATCTGGAGCCAAGGCAACCGCTGCAGCAGCTGTCAGGTGGACAAGCTGGAGACCCTCAAAATCCCTCTTGCTTGTGACGACGGCTTCACCTTCGAGAAAACCTTCGAAAACGTCGTCAGTTGTCGTTGCCAGGCTTGCAAACCCGTCAAGGAGTAGAAGGAGGTTGTCTGTTTATTTACGTGGACGAAATTCTTCTCATTTCGGTGATACGTGAGAGATACGTGGCGTTGTATATGTTTGTTTATTATATATATATATAAAAGGAACGAGGGAGGGGAGGGGAAAGGGGGGATATATATATAAACGTATTTGTAAACTGGGATTTTAAATGGTTTAATTACAAAGAGAGAGAGAGAGAGAAAGAGAGATTGAGAATGATATAAACCTATTTGCGAAAAAAAAGGATGTTACGGTTTATTGATTTATTTAAGATTGGAGTAGTTAATGATTATAAAAAAATCCGCTTTCCTCTGTATTTGCATGACCTTTTTTGTGACTTGACGATAGTGACTTAAAACTGATGATAGAATGATGATAGTGACAATGATAAAAATAATAATGTAACAATAATGAGATTAGCCATTGTAACTCTTAATACTACTGATACTAACAAAAGAGACTGATGGTACATTAATGATGAAGATTGTGATAACGATAAGAATGATTATGATAATGATAGTAAAGTTAATAATGGTAATAATGGTAACAATACTGTTGAAGTGATAAAAATGATAATGATAGTAATAATATAGTAATATTATGATGATAATAATTCAAATAATAATGATAATAATGATATTAATAGTATTACAAACATAATAATAGTGATACTACTACTACTAACAATAATGATAATAGTTAAAATAAAATCAATAATAGTAATGATAGTATTAATAATAATAGTAATAATTATAACAACCATAATAATCATAGTAAAAAGGATAATGTATTTAATGATAATAATACTTATACTAATACTAATATTTTTAATAATACTAGTATTTATACTAACACTAATAATGATGATAGTAATAATTATAACAAGACAGCAACAACAATAGCACTTTTATTACTGATAGCAATGGCAGAAATAATATTGCATTATGATGACCAATTACAATAATGATTATGATAATGACAATACTAAAGATTTAATGCTAAGGCTAATGATAATAAGTATGATGGTAATGATAAAATAATGATAATAATGATAATAATAATAATGATAATGATAATAATAATAATAATAACTATAATAACAGCAATGATGATAATAATGACAATAATAATAATAATAATAATAATGATAATAATAATAATAATAATGATAATATTAACAATAATAATAATAATAGTAGTAGTAATAAAAAACAAGTGATAATAGTGAATCATGATCATAATGATGATAAAAATAACAATTATTATTAAGAAAAACTCTAATAATGATAATGGTTATGATTACTATAATGAAATTAACGTTTATAATACAATTGTAGACATCATAAAATTACATGATTAAGTTATAATAACAATTGTCATACTCAGGCAAACCATTTTAGCATTAAAGATACTTTTGTCAATAACAATAATAGTAATAATGATAGTACCGGAAACAATCGATATAATAAAAAATAAAAGTAAAGAATTATGATAGTTACGATTAGAGACATAGTGATAATAATAATTCTGGCAATATTAGCAATAACGAAAACTCTAATAACAACACGATTATAACAACAACAACAACAACAACGGTTATCAATAATAACACACACACACAAAAAAAACACTTATGACAACACACTAGATGTAATAACAATATGCACTCGTCTACGCTCAGCTACAGTAATGAAATAAAAAACAACAACAGTTTTCGTCTTCACGTTTAATCATGAAGACATAATCATTAATCATCATCATTATCTTTGTTTTGCAGTCATAAGTTATCAGCTGAGCTACGATGACGCAATACACGTGCTTCCTGACGCACATGGCTGACGTAAACACAGAGCTGGAGAGGCGTGCGATCAATAGATGGCGCTGATTTTTCACTGTGTAGATTATATTTTGTTTTTGTTTTATATGTAATAATTTCTCATATTATCAATATGGCAATACTAATACTAATACTAATAATAATGATATTAATGGTAATAACAATGATGATAATGATGATGATGATAATGATAATAGTAATAATAATGATAATGCTGATGGTAACAGTAATGATAGCAATAATAATGATAATGATACTAATGATGATATTGATAATAATATCAATGATGATAATGGTATTAAGACATAA